ATTCATAATTTGTAAATTCGACAGTACCAATGCTGCCACTGAAAATATTTGCTTTAAAACACTAACCCCCCCCTTTCCCCCTAGCCCTAAACCCAACCCTACACCCCCCCCCCCCCCCGTGAAAGCAGCCTCCTCTTAGTTATTTCTTAGTTACCTCCTGTAAGTTTAAAATCGAACTAAATTATCTGCCCCTAATAGAAACCCGGCTGTACGGCTCTACGATTTGTAAACATTTAGCTTTGTAAAAATTTAGAGTGAACACCGCTCACCAATGTTGGGGTGGGATGAGGGTGGTAGTGATAGCGATAGAGAGAAAGAGAGGGGACTGCAAGGAGGCGCTTGCAGCTTGTTTTCTAACTGATCCCAGAAGAGAATTATATATATAGATTTTTTCGGTGAGTGATTAATGTACACTAAAGGTTTCATGCGGTAGTGTAGGTAAACCCGTATCACGATATTTATGATCCAAGCGCGGGTCGGTTTATATAAGTAATTACATATATTTATACCATAACAACTTTACATTCGAGAGAAAGTTGTGGGAATACTTTGTACAGGTAGATAATTGTGTTTATAAGTGACTCGATGGTTGTGTTAATAATTGCGTCGCCTTTTCAAATGATTCACATTATTTAGCAACTGGGGTTACAATAGTAAGTTTGTGTGTGTTATTATCCTTGTTTGTGTCCGCTTGTGTGTATGTGTGTTTGTCCGTTTGTGTGTGTGTTTGTGTTTATGTTTTTGTGTCTGTGTTTGTGTTTGTGTATGTTTGTGTGTATGCAAGGTGTCTTAGTAGTCCCTAAATTATTTCTCATAAAAGTTATAAATATCCACATTCCTGTTGTTTTATATGTATTAAGCTTTCTCAAATCGTCATTTCATGTAAGTTAGAACCAAATAAAAAGAAACAATCGTTATATATAGACTTCATCACTTCAATTATTTCAATTTTTCTTAGTGTCACATTATATCTATTACAAGGTGCAGTGTGCAGTATATAAGTAGAACGAATCTTGACGTTTAGTTCTAATGTACAGAGATATAGGGAGATAGAGAGAGAAAGAGAGAGAGAAAGAGAGAGAGGGAGAGTTAGAAATTATTTACAATACCCGAAAGTTGTTTTTACAAGCAGGGCAAATATTTATAGATTCACTTAAATGTTTTTACTACCTGTAATCTTATAAAGCTCTGCTTTTATATATCTGTTATTACTAGGTAATATTGTCAGATATTTTTTGTTAAAATTAAATATAACATCAGAACACTACTCTGCTGACTTTATTTTAAAAAATCAGACATACCCCTACCCATCTAAAAAGATGCCCGAAAGAACCGTAACTTAAATTAGGATATTTATAGGAAAAAGCATTCGGCATACGAGGCCTAGATCTATTTTGCCTGTTTTTTTTTTTAAAATTACAAAACTGTTCCCGTTTCTGATGAGAGGGATGATGATGAGCTCCCCGCGTTAATTATTCACCGTAATAGTGAGAGAAAATCCACTTTCTTGAACAACCAGGTGTCAGGGACGTAGAGAGACGCTCACTTAAGTTCCAATCACACTACCACAGGGGCGCCGCGTACTGTCCCTGGCTCATTAAAACAAACATAGGCTCCATGATGCTCACAGGATAATCTAGGGAGACAAATAAATAGAACCCTGCCATGGCGCCGGCGAACGCGCCTGGTTCAATTTGGCGAATAACTAAAACGCCCCATCCTATGCATTGTCTATCGCACTGTTTAGAACGAACGGTTACACCTGTTGAAGTTTAAATGCTGATTATCGTAGAAACCCTTACCCGCTATGCAGGACGCCCGATTAACGGATGCCAAGCGTAACTCTGGGCGCCAAATCGTATATTGACGAAATTCGCACCCTCCATGTCGCCGCCCATTACAATTATTTTTCGCAGAAATCTACTTGGCTGTATTCTTATTTACTCCCCAAAGTTTCATGGCACTCGGATGAACGGTGTGGAACAGCATTCGACTTTTATTTTTTTATATACCGTATATAGAGAAAAATCAAACCGCGCCTTGCCGGGGCGCAACCTTGCGAATTAAAAAATTTTTACCCAGGGGTATTCTCAACTTTCCAAAGGTTGATGCGATCGGATGAAAGAGGGAGAAATGCATAGAAGACAAACACATTTTCTTTGATTTATATATATATATATATATATATATATATATATATATATATATATATATATATATATATATATATATATATATATATATATATATTCGAAGATAGTATGTATACAATGCCTGAAATGAGTCGTCAAAGTATGAAATACATCAACATTTCATACATTTCCTAGGCATTCTATAGAATACCAAATAACAAACAGGCAGAGTTTAGAATATCAACATATCAAGAGCTAGTGTTAGGGATTGGGTTAAGGATTGGCTTAAGGTTAGGTTAATGGTAAGGGTTAGGTCTTGGTTTAGGGTTAGGGTTTTGAGTTAGGGTTAGCGTTAGCGTTAGCGTTAGCGTTAGCGTTAGCGTTAGCGTTAGCGTTAGCGTTAGCGTTAGCGTTAGCGTTAGCGTTAGGAATAGGGATAGGGATAGGGATAGGGATAGGGATAGGGATAGGGATAGGGATAGGGATAGGGATAGGGATAGGGATAGGGATAGGGATAGGGATAGGGATAGGGATAGGGATAGGGATAGGGATAGGGATAGGGATAGGGATAGGGATAGGGATAGGGATAGGAATAGGAATAGGAATAGGAATAGGAATAGGAATAGGAATAGGAATAGGAATAGGAATAGGAATAGGAATAGGAATAGGAATAGGAATAGGAATAGGAATAGGAATAGGAATAGGAATAGGAATAGGAATAGGAATAGGAATAGGAATAGGAATAGGAATAGGAATAGGAATAGGAATAGGAATAGGAATAGGAATAGGAATAGGAATAGGAATAGGAATAGGAATAGGAATAGGAATAGGAATAGGAATAGGAATAGGAATAGGAATAGGAATAGGAATAGGAATAGGAATAGGAATAGGAATAGGAATAGGAATAGGAATAGGAATAGGAATAGGAATGGGAATGGGAATGGGAATGGGAATGGGAATGCGAGAGAGTGGGAATGGGAATGGGGATTGGGATAAGGATAGAGATGGGAATAGAGATGGGAATAGGAATAGGAATAGGAATAGGATAGGGATAGGGATAGGGATAGGGATAGGGATAGGGATAGGGACAGGGACAGGGATAGCGATACGGATAGGGATAGGGATAGGGATAGGGATAGGGATAGGGATAGGGATAGGGATAGGGATAGGGATAGGGATAGGGATAGGGATAGGGATAGGGATAGGGATAGGGATAGTGATAGGGATAGGGATAGGGATAGGGATAGGGATAGGGATAGGGATAGGGATAGGGATAGGGATAGGGATAGGGATAGGGATAGGGATAGGGATAGGTAAAAAGAAAATTTAGTGCAATTAAAGATGCCATTGCAGCCTTCCAGAGGCGTAGCGATGGGGGGCGGGAGGGCATGTGTTGAGGGGGGGGGGGGCGTGCAAATCGAAAGCTTGAAGGGGAGTGCAAATCGAAAGGTTGTACCCGGGCGCCGGGAAGGGTCGCTATGCCTCTGTAGCCTTCACACTGTGACAAATAGTAAGTTATAGCACTTCTGATTCATTTGTTCCCTCAATAAAGAATATCTGTTGATCATTTTGTATTTTTTTCTGTAATTTTTTTAGTTTTAAAGACTTTTACAACCATGGCAATTTGCAATTTGCTTGAGTAGTTCTAGGGAATTTATATAAAGCCTATGCATTATATGTTCTGCTTTGGAAGTATATAAAAACACCGAAATTTCTTACTTTGCCTAAAAACGCCAGGGATTGTGTACATTGCATTCTAAAAAATGCCAGGTTTTCATACATTTCCGTAAACATATAGGGCCTACATTACATCGTATCATTTTAATTGCTGTTACCTTACCATCCATACAGTTATTCTTACTTAAGGTCGAGATAAAATTAAAATAAAGCAATTAATTTGGCTCTAATTAACACAGAAGAATGCTTATACTTTAAAATTCCGCCTCAATGAATCAAAGGACAAGCTCGGCTAATAGACCAAAGAAAGGATCAATAAAATAAACAGAATAAAATGACATGTACCACATATTTCAATGACTTTTCTGATCAGACTCTCGGGGAAGAAAAGAAAAAGAATAGCTTTAAGGGGATAGGCTCCCGAAAAAAACAGGGAAAAAAACTTTTTAGTTAAAAAGCCTTTTTCATTTATTTGTGTATGTATAAGTTAGGGTACTTAAGGAAAAATATTTGGATGTACCAGGGACTCTTCTGAAAATATGGTTGCCATGGAAACGGCGGCCATCTTGGAAAAAACTACCTTTTGTGGAGTTCTAAAATTTCCTAAAGTATCATATAAACCGCCCATATAATCATTGATCTTTATTGTACTAACATCAATAGAGTGAGCTGGCTAATTTTTGTAACCGAAACACAGCTAGACAAATTTTTTTTCAAATTTTCAAAAAAATATGTGGTGAAATTCCATTGAATTTAGCATTATTTTCATTGGAATTTCGTCACACCAAATTTTGAAAATAAAAAAAAAAATATTTCTAGAGTGATTTCTGTTACAAAAACTAGCCAGCTGACTCTATTAGCGTTAGTACAAGAAGGATCAATGGTTATATAGTCGATATTTATGTTAGTTTATGAAATTTTAGAACTCCAGAAAAGGATGTTTTTTTCAAGATGGCCGCCGTTGCCATGGCAACCATATTTTCAAAATATTCCCTGATGCATGGAAATATTTTCCTTCAAGTACCCTAACTTAGATATACACAAATGAATCAATAAAAGGTTTTAATTAAGAAGTTGGTTTTTTCTGGAGCCTACCCCCTTAATGAAAAAGCAGGCACTGAGGAGCAACGGCTTATGTTATAGATACTATTTACCTGATTTGTTTATGCTTATGTTGTCATTTCTTTCCAGATTTTTATCCAAATCACGGTAGCACCGATTACACTACCGCATAGACGTCGTGTACGGCCCCTGGCTACCTAAACCTAACATATACGCCATAGTGCTTATATGATAACTCAGAGTGCCAAACAGCATCCTGTTTACAATGATGCAGATTGCGTCATTCGCTAAAGTTAGACAATCAACAGGATTTATTTTAATAAAAATATTATTTAACGCGTTTAAACATTAGTGTGACTGATGCAATATGTTAGAGTTACTAATGGTCTATTATTAGATGCTCGATGTCTTCTTCTTCTTCTTCTGCTTTTTTTCTTAATTTTTAGTGTTGGAAGTGATCAAGCCTTATCTGCCAGAGGGTTTGAACACGAGACCTTTTCGAATTTATCAACCATGAGCTTTTTGCCATCACAATTAAGGATACGTGTCAAATGGTTATGCGCCATTGGGGCCATTGACTCCGATTTCAGTCTGCTTTTCGTTTTGGATTTGCTTCCATAGTTTTTGTCCAAACAAGAACAATCTCTCCTAAAAGAGTGGCTGTCCCCAGCTACCGAGCCTCATCTGCCCAAGGAATTGAATTCGTGTCTTTTCGGTTTAGCAACCATGAGCTTTACCGACTCGACCACGCCGACCCCTGCTCAATGTCTAAAATTGTACGATAATTGCATTGTTCGCAAAGTGACGAATTTGATTTTTTTTACGGACAAAAGGAAATATTCAAGTTAATAATCTAACCTTGCTTAATTTTTCTAATTATTAAAAAGAATGTATTATAGGGCCTTCAGCGGCCCATGTGAGCCTTTGGTAACCGAATCTGAAATTTTTGTTCGCAGCCAGGACGCCGGCTGACACGAGTGATTAAATTTTGTGAGCGACTGTAATGCCTCGTTTTATCCATAGTCTACCACACTGTTTAGACCGAACGTGTTCGCCATAGCGCTCGTGGGAAAGACCAGGGCGCCAAATCGCATTCTGCCGGGGGGCCGCCCGTGCGAAATAAATCCCCCCCCCCCCAGAAACCTTCTTTGGAGGATTCATCAACTACCTAAAGTTTTTTTGGCAATCGGATAAACGTTGTCGAACCGCATCCGACTTTCATTATATTATATATATATATATATATATATATATATATATATATATATATATATATATATATATATAAAGAGAGAGAGAGAGAGAGAGAGAGAAGAATCGCATCCTTCCGGGGTGACGACCTTGCGAAATTAAAAAAAAGATTTTTTTTTACAGAAACTTCACGTGGAGTGTTCAAATCAACTCCCCAAAATTTCATGGCGATCGGATGAATGGTGTCAAACCGCAATCGACTTTTATTTTGTATATACCGTATATAGAGAAAAATGGCTCCCTCCCGTGGCGCCGCCCTTGTGAATTTGAATTTTTTTCGCTGAAACCTCCCCAGGAATATTCTCAACAACTTCCCAAAGTTTCACGGCGATGTGATGAGAGGTGTAGTAATGCATAAAAGACAGACACACAGGTACAGGCATACATTGCTTTATATATATATATATATATATATATATATATATATATATATATATATATATATATATATATATGTTTTGTAAAAGTGAGTTATTTAAGTGTAAACTATGCCTGCGCTTTGATAATAAATATCGGGACACGGGTTTACCTACACTGCCGCATGAAAACCTTCGGTGTACATTAATCACTCACCGAAATAATGAGGTAGTACACATTTCGGTGACCACCCATGTGTCAGGGACGTAGAGGGCCGGGGCACTCCGATTGCACTACCGCATAGGCGCCGCGTACGGCCCCTGGCTCCTTAAAACTAACAGGCGCCATCGTGCTAAATAGCATCCTGTTAACGATGATGCAGATTGCGTCATTCGCTAAAGTGACACAAATGAACAGGATTTTTTTTCTTTAACACGTGAAAAATTATTTGACGTGTTTTAAACATCATTGAGACTTATGCAATATGTTAGCGTTACTGGTGGTCTATTATTAGATGCTCGATCTCAATTTCTGATTGGATTGTCTAAAAAATATATGCTAATTGCATCATTCGCAAAGTGGCTAAACTATTTCGATTTTTTTACGGACAAAAAGAAACATCACAAGAAACATTAACCTTGGTTAATTTTTCTGATTATTAAAATAAAACGAATTATATGGCCCTCAGCGGCCCATGTGAGCCTTTGGTGTCAAATCAAAATCGCCTTTTACTTTTATATACAGTATATTGAGAAAAATCGTACCTTCCTGTGGCGCCGCCCTTGCTAAATTAAAAATGATTTTTTTACAGAACCCTTCCCTAGAGTGTTCTAATGAACTCACCAAAGTTTGATGGCGATCGGATGAATAGAGATCACTCCCGGTTTATTTTTAAAGTGAATTGATTTACATAAAACTAAACCATTTCGTATTTATAAGAAGTCATTTCCTGCTACTCATGTTTCTTTTTAAAAGAATCTTTCAACATCAAAGCGTTTATTTGAATTTTTTCTGCATCAATTTTTAAGCTTTCTTTCCTGTGCACTTTTTTTTTTAAATTTACATTTTTTTTTCAAATGCGGTCATCTACTTTTTCGTTAGCTTAACATTTCAGTTACCAATAACAACTTTGAAGATGTTACAGTATGTTTTAAAACTATTTAGCTTTTTAACATAGCAAAATTAACCTTACTTTAACTATTTTGAAAATATTAAAAATACTTTGAATAATCAAATGAGCATCAATATTTTCAAACTGCTTTTAATGATAGCTACCTTTGTGTGTACATCCAGCCACTGGTGCTGCCTTGTAACCGGTCATTGTGCAAATTCTATTAATATATCCTACACTGACAGATCAAATATGTCGCAATACCCGGCTTCCTTGTAAGACCATCATGCTTCCGTGGGCATATACAAAGAAAAAAAAACCCGTCGTAGATGACGCATTTTAACACGTCATACAGGTGTAAGCTAGAAACCGTGTAATACATCCCGTATCACACAGTGCCGTTTGCACTTTACGTTACTTTTTATACATGTGCATCAGCATTGAAATATTTAAAGATTGTATTCTTCTCTGGGCTAATAAAAGCAATGTTCCAGATTCGGGTGGGTTGGGAGAGGGGCGATTATACAGTCGTTTTTTGTTTATATTTCTTATTTCAATTATTATCTCCCGTTTAAAAATAACATAGGTTTTGTATAAGTCAGAGTTGAATACGTATTTACGTTTCTAATGTCATCTTAACAAGGAAGTTTGAACATTTTACGATTTTGTACAAAAAGGTTGGTGTCATTATTCTTTATGTTAAAGCAAGGTTAATTGTATCAATTTATTCACTTGTATAGTTTAAACACATTAATAAAAAGAAAACAGATACGAATATATATTTTTTGGATAAATATTGTACATTAAGGTAAACAAAGTGTAATTGCATAGTAGATAAGGCAGATTAATAATAATAATTAATCTGTAATGTGATATGATGTGATGTGATATGGGGCGGAACTACAGTGCCGCCAGACCCCGCATGCGAGGGGGTGGGAGGGCCGTTTAGGGGCCCACTGCCGACCATAATCAATTTATATAGTTAAAAAAAATACAATACAATGTTTTTGCATTTTAACTTGATGGTTGTTTTGTAAAAAGAATACTGTAGCTGCGGTCGGATTATCTTTATTCTATAGACACCATCCCAAGTCCTCTTTCTCCTACAATCAAACACAAGTTGTTGTCGGCAAAACTTCTTGTGAAAATAAATATAAATCTATCGCGATAGATTTCGGTTTTATGTACTTTTACTTCTTTTTGTTTTACAAACAAATACGATAGTAAACGTGTATAATTTGAATTCTCTCCCTTGATTGTTTCACAATAGGCTTTAGGAAATGTAGTTGAGACCATCCCAACTTCGGTAAAATTTGAGAGGTTTTTGAGTACTCATAGACCTAACGTTTGTTTAAAATGTTAGTTGAGCGTCCCGAGATCCCAGTGGCTATCTAAGCACCAAGGGTCCGCTTATTGGGTGTCCTGCACAAGGGGATAGGTGTACTACTTGATTAGTCTCGCTGCCTCCGCCGGTGGCCGTGTCCCAAGAGCCCCGTGACGCCTCTGACACCAAGGTCGTCATAGTTCTTTCACCATCAGCGTAAACCGGGACGTGTCTGTGGTAGTGTCTACAAACTAGCGCCTCAACAACTAAGCCTTTATAGTTCCGCCACTGGAACATTGATAGCGGTTTTGTAAAAAAAAAAGGCAGGTCTACTACAGTGGTGATGTTCTACAGTAGCTAAACACGCTGTTGCTTAAAAGAAAAAAAAAGTATAAATGAGTTGTAATACTCTTAAGCACTTTTTAATAGATTTGCATTAAACAAATTAAACGACAATTACTTCACTTAATTATTTTTTGTATAAAGAATGACAGAGTAGGCCTATAAAAAGGAAATGTATTTAAAACTAATAATATAAATACAAAAAAAAAGTTAATAAACATAATTCGAGAAACCATTACATTTACAAAGCTTTCATGCTTCAAATTCTTTTGACCAACTTACTTATATGATGCATTATTTCAGACATATATTGTAACAGAGATTTTAATGGCACTCAAACAAATGACGGGTTGTTGTAACTTTTTTTTTTTTTAACTAAGAATTTTTAAGCCCGAAATGAGTATTCTATGTTCCAATTTTCGTATATATATATATATATATATATATATATATATATATATATATATATATATATATATATATATATATATATAATGGGCCCAAAAATGTCTTTGCACGGTGGCCCTTTTTTCTAGTTCCGCCACTGCACTTTTAGCTGATGAAAGAAATCTTGTATTAACGCAACAAGGAAGGTTTCTATCAGTGACGCGTTTTAACATACATTTTGCCGTACGGTGCTTATTTCTCATTTAATGAAAACAGCGAATACCCAGAAGGAAATAGAGCAGAACGAAATTATGATCGCACTGCTAGTACAGCAAGGATACGTTTAGCGGATATTGTCAATGCGCTAAATATTTTGGTAGTGTGCAGAAATGAGAATCAATGATGAATGGAACATGTAAAAAGGCGAATATGTGTAAAAAACAAAACAAAAAAAAAGATTAAGCGATTTCCCTAGTCTAAATCAATCATAAAAGTTGATAATGGATAAGATTATGCAGGAAATACTGTCATTTTGAGAGTGCCCTAGAAGTCAAAGTTTTTGCAAGTTTTTATGATTTTGGGCTGTTAGCCGCAGTATTGTGAACGATACTTACCACTTGAGCACGTGATCATGTTTTAAACATGTGTGCAGATGAGCAGGGGAAGTGCAATGCGTTGCCTTTTGTATTCTGCACTGACAACAATGAGTTATATTATGTTGAACATACATCGTTTGGCACACACATTTCAAAGCCAAAACTTTAAATAGTGATTTTTAAAAGGCAAAACCGTTTACTTCATGAAGATACTGGATTGCTTTTTTACTTTTACTTGTTTTTTTCCTTGATTTAAAACGGTTATTTAATAAATCTGTATGGAAAGAGAATGATTGAGGGGGATTGTGTGGTCTTGTGGTATAACATGTCAAACATACTGACCAGCAAGATAATTTCTCTACTACTTTCGGTTCTCCTATTTAGTTTATAGATGGGTGCTGCTCTCTATTTTTTAATTGTAAACATGTTCCTTTATTGACATAAAGACATTAAAATATCTTCACAATCTAATCTAATGGTAAAGTTAACATCCCTGACTAATGAACGTCTGATTTTACACATTATGGCATGTCATTACATTGTCTTTCTTCACATCGTGTTAAGTTAACCACCCAATAACGCCCACATTTTCCATTGGTTTTCTTTATAAAATGTTTCCCCAGTCTACTATTTCAAGACACATAACTGTTTGAAAAATAATCACAAAGTCGCAATTAGCTAAAATCGGCTTTTCGGAATTAGTTTTCAACAGAATTTAACAAACAATCACCAAAGCATTTGATATATTTACTGTTGAAATCTGTACCATTAGGTATTTGTTTCTTTTCCTGGCGTGTAAAATTGTAACTGATTAATATGTGGTTCTTAGGGAATTATTATTTACTAATTATGATTTTAAAAATTAGATAAAAGTTCTCGCAAATATTGATGGACCTTTCGTGTGGAAATCTCTCAATAATCATCGGCAACACCTGCAACTCCAAAAATATTGTTTTAATTGATAGACTATTAGCACACGTTAAAGAAATGTGTGTCTCGTACGAGCGGTTGGATGAATCGTACACATTACCTATATACTCCCTCCTGTATGTAAGAGTAAATTAAATTATTTATTAAGAACACGGTCATAAATAGTTGTTTTATATTATTTATTTTTTGCTAATACAGCTTCGAAAAAGAAACTACTAAAATAGCAATTATTACTAACGCAAGGATTACTTAAAATTGTCGACATAAATTTCTTATACATTTTTATAAACTGTTACTGATAGTAAAAAATACAAATAATAATACAAGGTATGCGTATATATCATATGTAACTCACTAGTCTAAACTGGTCTTGAGATAAGACTAAGACATGAGGCACTTGAACATTTCACTACAAATACTTTCATTAAAAAATGTTTAAAATTTGCTGATAAACAGCAGTAACATCAATGACTTTCAGTTTTGCATTTTCATAACAATTAAGCTAAAATATTTAATTTTAGTAAAAAAAGTTAAATAATACGTGTTGCCCAATTTACCAGCTTATGTTTATAAAACTGCCACCAGAAAGATAAACGTCGACACAAATTACCAATGATATAAACATTCATGGGAGACATGGAAGAAACATTACATCTACAAGTTACATTATAACTGATTTTTAATTGTTTTTCATTTTTCTTTTAATTCATTATTAGAAAATATGTCTGCAGAGCAATATATAAGTGTGTATCGCACCAACTCTGAATTATCCTGAACTCAAAAGAATAGATCAGCGATTTGATTATGGTCACATACAAAGCCTCTGTGTGATTAAGAATTTTAAGTTGATTATAAATAAAAATATAGACGTCTCTTGGTGAAAGTAAAATTTAACGAAATCCTGATGAGTCCATAGTACTGTCTTAGAAATGTGCACGAGCAACTAAGATAAATTGAGTTTACACTTTTTTTTACACAAGTTTGTATGTATAATATGAAACTATAATACAAATAAATCATGGTTTGCATTACACATTCTTTCGAACAAAAATAAAATAAAAGCGAAACATAGTTAATATAATAGAGGCATGTAACATTTTTTATAAAAAAGGGAACCATCTCTGTAAAAAGAACTTGATTGTTTCAAAAAAACTAATGTCGAGATTTCTTTTTATTTCAATGAATTCCGCTTCAATGTCGGTCATATTGATGCTGTCTTCTTCATCAGGCTCAGCATTTTTCAATAACGAATCAACAAGATGACGAGTTTTGGTTATATTTTCTTGCAAAGGCTCTAAAGCTTCTGTGTTGTTGCTCCTTGCTATCCTATTTTGTAAGAGATCAATCCACTGTAAAATGTTGAGTAACAGTTGCTTTCTTTTCTCTATATCTACTGTTTCGGTTTTTCTAATTTTATCTAAGATCAAACTTTGTTCATTTACAACTTCTTTTTTTACTATTGATGTCTCGCGGCCTATTATATATGAATACTGCCTTTGTGCAGCATGAAAATGCTCATTTGTGTATCTTTCGCCATTATAATTAATTTGTTGAAGCAGTTCCAGCAATTTCTTTCTCTGTTCCATCTTTTTACTGTCATCTTTTGTAATATTATCAAATACGACAATCCTGTTTTTACATTCTTGCAGAAGATCACGAAAAGCACCGTCTTGATTTTCGCAATAGCTTTTAAGGTCTAATGTATCATCTTCCTCACATGCATGCTCGAAACTGTCTCCATTTGTCATTACAATTACACCGTATTTGTTCAGAAAATCGTGACCTAAAATTCCCTTAAGAATACCGACAGCATGATTCTCTTCAAATGTGAATCGAGCACCAAATTTAATAACAACTAGAAAAGCATGGTAACCGTATGGGTTTGTTAACATTGCATGTTTTAACGCACTGTGCACTAGATTTATTCCTCCGGAGATGCTTAGATTCGTGTCAATGACACCAGGACAATCAACCACTTGTATTTCATGACCCATAAATTCGCACATGTCAAACGCTGGTTGTTTGGTTTTAGAAGCACTGTTGTAGCTTTCTTGAAAGGGTTTTGGTTTTTTACCTAGTATTGAATTTCCCGTAGAACTTTTTCCATTCCCAGTTTTACCAATTAATAAAATATCTAATCTGTTTTGTGATTCCTGAAACCATTAGAAACAAAGTATAAATTGAAGAGCTTAGTTTTATACGTACTTAGTCACATAAACAACATTTTGAGATAACAGAGCTCAACAATTTAATTTGATTATACAAAATTACGTGTTTTTTATATGGTTAATTTAAAAACGGACTTTAATATATTTTTCATTAGTAATATTTGTACTTGGGATAAAAATCAAACATAAGGTTAGTGGCCGTTGCGTGTTTTGATTTTTACCAAAATGTGACTGATGTACATTAGGCACTAGGCTCTTAAATGTACAGTACTAATACGTTAATAATATGTTGAGAACCTTTTGTTTTTCATTAAACAGCGCTGAATAAAAATGTTAAAATCAATTAGTTCGTAAATCACTACGTTTTCAAACTCAGTGTTTGAATGCTGCAGCCCATTTGCTCAACATACAATCGACACGTCTTAACCAAAATGCGTAAACATCGTATTCAAATATGAGCTATTAAGAAATTTTTGTAGGTTACAGAAATTCCGTTCTTTATAAATCGCCTATAAAATGAGTACTATTTGCTGGGTAAAAATCTGAGCGTGTCCTTATTCAAAATTTCAATAAGAGTTGTAACAAAATGTTTGCCAAAATATTACAAGCATTGAACATAATATGAACCTATTTCCGCCATCTGCGTAATTTAAAATCTGATTTATTTACATGTAAAAGGCCTACTAAGCTAGTAATAAAAAGGGAACGTCTTCCTTTCCGCATATGGAAGAGTCGAATTACATGTAACCAGAACATAATTCATATATATATATATATATATATATATATATATATATATATATATATATATATATATATATATATATATATATATATATATATATATATATATATATATATATATATATATATATATATATATATATATATATATATATATATATTCCATTAAAATTCCATTTTAAATTGTGATACTTGTATATTACCTGTTCAATAGTGCCTAACCCTGAAGCCATTATCTACATAAATTGTTGTAAATCAATATGCTTCTCTTAAATCTTTTCCAACTTATAATTTTAAGCAGTCAAATATCTGTTAGTAAGAAAATTTCTAATAAAAAACTATACAAATGAAAATATACATGTTGCACAAATACAAGTAAAAAACAAAATAACTGATGCCATTGAATAGTTACTAACTTAGTCATTTAAACATACCTACAATAAAAATAACAAGGTCAGTGGTTCTTAACCTTTTTGGAGGTACAAACCTCAACGCTTGCGTAATCGCATCACCGAACCTTTTTTAATAGAAAAAATATAATGTTATTATTTAAAATTTCAAAGCATAGGTAGGGTCAAAATATTTTACTGGTGCATAAAATAAACAATATGGGAACAGTGCTAGACTGCTAACCAGAAAGTCACGAAAGTGTATGAGTCATACCAGCTCTGATGGGTATCTAACTCATGTCAGCGAAAGTAAAGGCTGTGGGTAAAGTGCTACCCACACCTTCCCTATGCTGAGGTCAAAAAACTTATGAAAGCAACTTAATCTAAGCAGTGGTTAGCTAGGTCTAAAGAGGATTCTTTGTTACAAAATAGCCGTGCATCAACATCACTGTGCTCAAAGAAAAAAGATTATAATATGATTTTAAAAAATAAAATAAACCGGGAGTGATCTCCCTAAACTTTCTCGAATATTCTTATATAACTTAAAATATAGACATGATTTTTAATTACTTAAACTTTTAAAAATAGAATAGAATCTCATAGAAAAAAGTATTGCGCACCAAGCGAACGCCAAAACAAAATGTGCATAATAGTGCCCAATATTATTAGTACTTTATAAATTTACATGCGTTTTTTTTTTTTGAGAAATCGGAAATAGCGCAAATTAGTACTTCCGGTCAATGGAAATTACTCAAAATTTGAAAGAAGGTAGAAAATTAGATCTTTTACTTGCATGTGAAATTTCATTTATCTATATGAAATAGTACTCAAGTACTCAAGTTATAGGCTTTTGAAAAATTCAAAGTAGAAAAAGTACCACTTCCGGTTATCGGAAATCGCTCCAAAGTTGATCAGTATCTACGATTTTGACATAATACTTATATATGAAATTTCATCAACCTACCTGTAACGGTACTCAAGTTATCGTGTTTACACACAGACACACAGACAGACACACAGACATACGGACAAGATTGCAAAATTATGTTTTTCCGTATCAGTGAGGTGTAAAACGTCGAGATTTGTAAAAATCTCGATTTTTTTTTTGCACGATTACAAGACTTTCTCTTTACTTCGTATATACGAGAAAGTAAAAATTAAGAATATAGAGATAGAAGTAACACTGATAGTATTCTTCTTATTTATATTTATAAGTGTTTGAGTAACGAGATCAGAAAATCTACAAAATGTTAAAAAATTACATATTTTCACATAACAGCTTTAATTATGTATATATAATTATATATATATATATATATATATATATATATATATATATATATATATATATATATATATATATATATCATTTCTATTAAGTTCCAGCATTAGCATCATTTTTCAAAAGAATGGATATTATAAATCATCAATTCTAGAGTATAAAGAAATTCATGGTTTTATGTTCAATTTTTCGGATGCATGTGTGTGTGTCAGTGGTTTTGTCAGTGGTTTTGTCAGAGTCACGAGATCCGAAAATCCACAAGATGTGAAAAAAACTACATGTTTTACATAAATATGCAAAGTTTATTTAAAGACGGTTGTAAAAACTACTAAACGTATTCTGGTGCAGAAACACTTAATACAATTAGTCACTTAAGCTTTTAATGTAAACCTGAAGTATGTCACTTTAGAGTAAAACTTAGCGTTCAAAACATATACAGCCAAATTGCGGATTTAACCTTTAATGCATTATAATGATTTTTTTTCTTATGTCTATGGCTTTAATTGTATATATTTAATTTCTATTAAGATCCAGCAATAGTATCATTTTTTTTAAATATAATGCGTGTTATAAATCATGAATTCCAGAGTATAAAGACGCTGCATTTTCTGAATCCGATTTCAAAGGCGTGTCCACAGTGGCTGCTAATTTATTTAGAAAGAGGAATCTTTATACCTCTTATACCGCAAGGTTTTAAGATCTGTTTTATTCCTAAAATACATGTTACAAAATACTGTAAATGATATTTAATAAAAATAGTTTAGCAAACTTGTTCAAATTATAATAATAAATTGTTCTTGTTTGTTTTAAAATTGCTAAGGTGACCCAAGAAACAGTGACATCTCCGTCGATTGAGGCATTGTATTATTGTCCTGTTGATAAAAAAATGTTCTAATATAGATCAGGCACCTATGTATCATGCCAGCGTCTGCTTCACGTTTTATTTCTAAGAATTCTTTTTCTAATTGTGTAAATTGCGTCTCGAGTTCATCCAAAGTAGATAGACATTCGTTATCTTTGTTTTTTGAAACAGGTATTGATTTGCTTTGTGCTGATAGGGTCTGTTGTGAAGTTGTATTATCGTTGTCTAATGTTTTATCTGTATATTTATCAGAAAGAAATTCTTTACTTCTTTCAATATAGTTTTGTGTATATTTTACATTATCCAATAACTTGTTCAATGTACCAGTCTCACCGTCCATTTTTGCAATATGTCTCGATAACTTGTTGCTGCTTTCATAAAGTATCGATAATTGTTTAAGTTTTTCTTTCACGGTTTTGCAATTATTAACGTTTTTTAAATCTAGCAAAATTAAACGCTGTGAAATTAACATCTGCTTATCTATTAGTGGTTCCTCTGTTTGTTTTAACATATTGGTATATACATAGCCTGCTTTACGAAAATCCTCATTTGTGTATCTATTACGTTCTATTTCTGTTTTTGGAAGTTGTCTGACTTTATCAAAAAGCTCCCGCAATTGTTTATTTCTTACATTTTTATCTTTAGTGATATTATTAAAAACGACTATTCTGTTGTCACACTCACTTAGAAGCTCTTTAAATGGTCCCCTCTCCTCTTTACAAAACCGCTCAAGAGTTAAACCGTACTCTGCACTATGATATTCAAAAGTATCTCCGTTTGTCATGACGACAATGCCATGGTTTTTGATAACATCTTTTCCCAAGATATTCTTCAAAATTTTAATCGAGTCTTGTTCCTGTTTTGTAAATCGCTGAGCAAACTTGACGACAATAAGAAAAGCGTGATAGCCTTGTGGATTGGCTATAAGCGCGTTTTGTAACGCGCGTTTCACAATATCGACCCCGCCAGACTGGTCAATATCTGTGTCAAGAACGCCCGGACAATCAACAACTTGTATTTTCAAGCCTTCAAAGTCAGTCACATCGTATTGTGGAATTTTATCGTATTGTGGAATTTTTGTTATAGAGGTGGTGTTATAACTGCTTTTAAAACACGATCTTCGTAAAATAGAATTTCCCGTTGCACTTTTTCCATTTCCTGTTTTACCTATCAAAATTAGATCTAAATCTGTTTCGATCTCCATTTAAAACTGAAATAAAATTCAAAGCAGAGTTTGAAAATAATTTTTTATGAAGTATACAATTTTTTAAAATTAGTAGATTGTCTCAATACTACCATTCCGCACTATTATCCGGACATTGTCATTTTCATTTGGTGCGCAATTGTTTTTAGTCATGTGATAAAAACCATTAGATAGCCTACTGAAAAAATGGCTTAAAAAACTTTTTAATTACAAGCAGTAATAATGCATTAAAACTAGAAAAAAATGATTTTCTTTAGATATTTAGTAATACACTACTTTGATAACAATAAAGAAAAGCTTTTAAAATTTATTTTATAAATATTCTCTAAACTTCATACGCTCATCTATCCATTAGCTTCTACAAATTTAGACAAGCTTATTTTATCGAAGTCTGATACTTATTGTAAATTGTTGCCCGTATACTAGCTGAAGAAATAAAAATGTAATAAATAAAATTTTGTCGCAACAGTTTATAATTTGTGAACGATTTATCCCGTTTTTATCGAATTTTTGGATGTAAACAATCTAGTTCTAACCTGTCGAATCCTTAAAAATAAAAATATTGTTCTACATGCTTAGATTATGTTTAAAGTACTTACAGCGATTGGTTAGAATAACATAAACACAATGTTTTAGCATATCCGTTTGTACCATTTATCTGTTGTTGTTTTTTATCTGAGCAGCATCAAGTTCGATATTAACCCTCTAGCTCATATAAAAAAATTAATGTTATTTAAAATTTTAATTTTCTCTTAAACGGAGCAAAGAGAATGTAGTGAAATCGTTCGAAAAAATTAAAATCGAGATTTTAACAAAGCTCGACATTTTACACCAAAAACAAATTGTGCAATATTGTCTGTACGTTAATGTGTGTGTATGTGTGTTTATGTGAACACGGTACCATGAGCAATATTTCAGCTAGATGGACAAAATTTGAGAAATAAGTAGGACTTATAACATCCTTTTTAAAGATTTCTATCAACTTTTGTGTAATTTCAAGTATTTTGAAGTAGTTCATGTTATATTTCCTGTTTCTCAAAAGCCGATATAAATATTAGATAGTGTACGCGGGTTTGTGTTGCGTTTCGAAGAGGTACTTTACTCTATTTTCGTGTGAACATGATAGCTTGAAAACCGTGCCAGCAACGTAAACGAACCGAAACAAACGACTGCTGGGGCTCTGGCTTACGCGTCTGATTGGGTTAGACCAGGGGTCGGCAACCTTTAGAGACGGAAGAGCCAAAAGTTACAATTTACAAAATTTACCAGTTTTTAAAGAGCCACATTTTTATTTCAATATTTTGGTATTTTATTAGGATTAGGTAAAGAAATTTTAATAGGCATTTAAAATAAATAGCTTTAACTATGAAATTATATTTGTTCATATAAAAACATACACATGTTTCGCCAGAATAATAAACTTAGTAATCAAATAATTTAAGTATAGGACTACATCAATCCTCTTTAGAAGCCGTTAACTTTTTTTTTTTCTTTATCGGCATGACCTGTTCAGGATGTGTCTGCCATTAGCCAGGCAGGCCTCAACACGGCAAACTCAGACTAACTGGCTTGGAGCTTCGTTTGACTACCGAGTATCGTCGCTTTTGTCCTTCGGTTCTCACCAAGCTCATCTTCTACCCCACTGAACACACGGTAGATTCGTACGACACCGTCCTGTACCCGGCTCAACCGTAGGAAGCTAATAACTAAAAAAAACTACGTCATTCACGTCAAATTAATGATTACTGACAGATAGGGAAATGCATTCTGAATAAAATAACATTCCAAAATTAACGATATTCGAAAATGTCGGCACTTGGGCAGTGGCAAGCATTGAGTTGTTGTCAGGGGGCTGTCCACAACACGGCTCTAGGGCTGCGCTTGGTGCCCAAGCGGCTGTCAGCTGTCCGTGTACACTCTACTCCACCTGTTCTCACTGTTCAAAGAGCCGCATGCGGCTCGCGAGACGCAGGTTGCCGACCCCTGGGTTAGACCGTTGCATCATGTAGTACTCCTGAACCTATGAGCAGGACGCCCACTCAACAGATCCCAGGTGATAACATGGCATATCTGTAACTCGGGGTGACAAATTGAACCCTTTCACTTCCTGGCGATCGGATGAATGGTGTAGTAATGCATAATAGATTTATATAGATATAGACAGATAGACCTATGCATCGGCTTCTTTTAGCTATTTAGTGGTTTGTATAAACCGGATGTGGTATTATACTCTACTTTAGTGTGAACTTGCAAACAGTCGCAGTCTGTTGACATAATTTCATTTTTAATTAAGTAGCAGATCCTACGCGTAGATTTTGATCTTTGTTTTGAGTACTATTCGATAACCGGAAATGTACTTTACTATGTTTCCGTTTTCTTTAGATTTCGATAATTTTTATATCATATTATAATAAAGCATCATGTTTTGTTGTTGTTTTTTTTTTACTCTTTTGTATTTTCTTAAGAAAATTATTGTTTTGAGGAATTAATCGAGACACTATCCTGTCCCTCAGTTTTTATTTTTAACGTGTTATCCACTTATATCGAGACCAGTGTTATTACGTGTATATTGTGACAACAGCGGTCATCTTGAAAAACTAACCTCTTCGTAGGATTTCCACCATTGATAAAGTATTATATTTTAAGCCCAATGAATTAATAACCTTCTACCATATTTTGGAGTAGTCAGCTAAAAAAAGTGCATATCTTCAAACTGATTTATTATGAATTTTCAAATTTTGGGTCCGTTTAAAACATTACATTTTTGGGAATTTTGGGGCAATAAATTTAGTATTTTTAACGGACACATACTTTGAAAATTCAGAATTCTGCCTGGTCCAAAAAAATCGCACCTTTTTTAGTATGCAAAAGGTTCAAAATTTGCATATTATTTACCATAAACTTTTTTTTATGAAAGCCATCACAGTTTACTCGTAACAAAATTTTATTTTTGCAACAAGAACAATTACTGAAAAGATAGTGGACATTGTTTCATAAATTTAAAAAAAAAGTGGGCTTTTTAGTGACAAAACTGCCAACTGAGAAAACAGTTAAAGGTAAGGAAATGTAGGTCACGAAAATACCACTTCTGTGTAATTTGCCGACTGTTAGCTTAGCGTGTTTCCAAAAAACCTAAAAAATAGGATCATCAAATACAAGAGAAATCCAGCTTTTCGTTGATGCCAAATGCAATATGATAACGGAAAATCAAACTTTTCGTTGAGAGGTTGTAAGATTGCAAAAAAAAAAGTTTTTTTTAATTAATGGGGTTATAAAAATTGTATTTTCGACACATTAATTTTTTTTCTCATTGAAGTTAATACAAAAATTGACAAAGTAAGCCTATCCAAAAGTGCAGGAAACCGATTATATAGAAAAATCAGGATTTTGGTGATTTTTTAAAGCGCATCTGCCGTTAAATGTAGTTGCACTAGGGTTAAAATCTGTTTTGATAAATCGGCAATATTTGCAGCATGTATTATTCAGTTATCGCATGAACCTTGTACTTTGAACCTAATTTTATCTTATCTGGCAGACATTTGAAACATTGTAACTGAAATAGCAATATAAAATACTTGATGATTAAGATCCATGACGATCAATATCAAATGTGTAACGTTATGATTACTATAGTTATTGTTTGAAATTGATTCCCCTGCTCTGGGGTCTATATATCGACTATGAATGTGAAAGTGTGCTTTTAGATGTTCTCCATTAGTGTACACTGGTCAGCTCGTATTTATAAAATACCGAATAAAATATTGCGTTTGAGTTTGTGCTTGCGTCTGTATTTGCGTTTCCTTTTTTGTTTGCGTTTGCTTTAATGCTGACTTTTGTGTTTGCGTTTGTGTTTTGATTTTGGTTTTAGTCGTGGTTGGTTGTGGTTAGTGTTAAGTTTAAAATTTGAGATAGGGTTATGTGTGATTTTCTAAAACGTCCATATTTGCATATAATTATTTAATTGGAAAAGTAATGTTTCCTAAACCCCGTAAACGTTGGGTATATGCTGCTTAATAAATACACAAGTCACTGTCCTTTCAGATAGGTTTTTCACAGAGTCCAGTGCAGGGCTTGACCGGGAGGGCTAGAATATATATAGTTTATATATATATATATATATATATATATATATATATATATATATATATATATATATATATATATATATATATATATATATAACCAATTTTTTTGTCTCTCTTAAAACATTAACATTTTAAGAGATGGTTTGCGACCGAGGTATCTAAAAGCGAGTGTCACGCTCTTCCTCGTAATTGAATTGGATAGGGTACTTGGGGAAAAATTCAGCGGTAAAGCGATATTCAACCTCAACCTAACGGGGAAACTATCGCAATATCAACAATTGAGTTTAATGTGACCGAAAACTAACCTCGACCGACCCCTGCCTTATAATAATAATAATACGCACTATACATTTTTCAAAGTGCTTGAATTAGATCGACCACTTGCAGATGCGAAACAAAACTTGATATTTGGTAAAGAGATAGCTTAGGTGACGAAACAAAATACCATATTCTCAGTAAAGTCATATCAAGAGGTTAACAATTGAACAGTTTTACAGCTCAGTTGTATCTATTTAAGGGACGTAACTGTCTCAGAAATTTAAACTATTAATTTTTCCAGTTATTTGATTTCACACAAGAATAAACTAGGAAAACATTTGGATAAAAGATTTATTTTGATTAAAATGGTGCGATTGGTTATTATTTTCCGAGGAACAAGGGTATTTACTTTTTTTAAGAAAATAGTGAATTGTATAGGGTGGTATAGAGCTATGTTTTATTTTCTCTGTTTTTTATTCCCTAAACTACTATTATCTAGAATATTAATAAAAACTACTGCTATAATTTTTTTTCTTGCAAAATATAAAAGGTTATAAAATTGTAACATCTCGCTGCATTGGTTTTAAGCTAAGCTTATCGAAGAGTTGGGTGAACAATTGGCTGATTTCGTGTCTTATCGTCGACCACGAACGAAGT